GCCGTTCGATATACAAGGAAGGTAATGTGGCTAGCACTACGCTTCAACAGCCTATTATTACCTCAGGATTGTGAATCCCAAGTACTCATTTAAGGCTGAGTCGGCCTAGTTACCCAAACTATTTTTATTTTAATAAAAATAGTCGGCTGATGAAATGCCGGGTGTGGGAATCGAATCCACACCTTGAGATTGGTAGACGAGAGCCTGTACCTCTACGCCACCAGGCACCTTATTTTATATATTTATTTTACATAAAAACTTCGTTAAAATAGGTACAACACTATGTATTTTTTTTTAGAAAATTGCCATGGCGACACCAGCCATTTTGATTACAATTTTATTAAAAAATCTCTTTTTAAAAGGAGACAGCCTTAGTCCCTTCTTATTCAATCTCTTAATGGACATCATCATAGAAAAGGTGATCTCGATGAATATCGGTTATCGAATAGGACACAACAGAGTTAGCGTGGTGCGTTACGCTGATGATGCTGCCATTATCGCGGAGACAGAGGACGATATGCAGAGCCAGCTTCACAAATTCTATCAAGTAAGCAGGGAATTAAATATGATTACCCTCTACAGAAAAAACTAAATGCTTAACTTTCTCTAAAGAGCCGGTAAGATGCAAACTAGTATCTAGTAAAAAACCTAGGAATAGATATGTCGCACTACTATGATCCAGAGAGATCTGAGAAGCCAAATAAACAGAGCAACAGATATGTCAGGATGTCTGAGGCAAATAATAGTGTGGATAAACTGTTTTATGCGAACAGACAGCAAAATTAAAATTTATAAGACCTGCATCAGACCAATAATAATGACATATGACATAGGAATCCGAGAGGAAACAAAAAAGACCAAAAGCATGTTAAGAGTCGCTGAAATGAAGAACTTAAGAACCATAATGGGGAAGACTAGAAGAGACAGAATTAGAAACACAAATGTCAGACAAAAATGTGGAATACAGGACGTAGTGAGATGGAGTAAGCAAAATTAAAAGACCATGGTTCGTACACGTAAAACGCATGGTAGAAAACAGGCTACCATGCATAGCTCTTGAAGGGAAACCCATGGGTAAGAGACAGCTGGAAAGACCTCCAAACAGATGGAAAGACAGTAGTTGGCAGTCCATCTCCCAAGATCTCCTACAGAGGCAACCTTAAAACTAACAGATCGACTAGATCTCAAATAAGTAAAAGAAGAAGAAGAAAGAAAACTTAATGAATATCTGGTATCTTCTAACAATCCATTCCTCTTATCACGCCCTCTCCTGCCGAAGGTTGGCGATCCAAATGGCAATTGTGACTCTGGAAACTGCAGCCCGGAAGATTTCCGCAGACGAGCGTTCAAACCATCTCCTTAAATCTTTTAGCCATGAGTTCTGGCGTCTTCCTATTGATCTTTTCCATTGCACTTTGCCCTCTGTTATGAGGCGCAGCATTTCGTATCTACCACCTCGCATCACATGACCCAGGTATTGCATTTTTCTTTCCTTGATGGTGTTCAGTATCTCTTTTTGTTTCTGCATGCGCTGGATTACTTCATAGTTGGTAATCCTTTGTTCCCATGAGATTCGCAGCATCCGTCTGTACACATACATTTTGAAGGCTTCTATTCTCTTTCCGGTCTGTGAATCCAGTGTCCAGCTCTCACATCCATAGAGTAACACAGAGAAGACGTAGCATCTGGCCATTAGAGTTCTGAGTTCCGCACTGAGGTCTCTTAATGGCTAACAATCCATAGAATAGCAATATTATTACTAGATTGGATTTATTAATAACATCACATGAGAAAACATAAAAATTGTGCTTGCGTGAGATGCACAAAATCTGTACTTTTAACATTAACATTGAAAATGTTTCTGTTATCCTATATAAGGGAGCCCAAATCGAATTAAAATGCTACATTTGCCACACCATGATGTCATCACGCGTATACGCATAGGAAATCTCGGCGCAGAACGGCGCGGCGGCGGCAGTCGGACATCGCTAATTGTTTATTGATATATCTTTATTAGTTTAAAAGCAAAAAATATGGGGTGTGCTTTGTTACCTTGTCAAGACATAAGCGAAACTTATAAATCGCTTCTTTTTTTCATTTAGGCCTTCGTTTTTCGTTAAATGAAAGTTATATTTAAAAAAGTCCATTTTTATACCAAATTTTCGCATGATTGAAATGAGTTATTCATGTTTAAAGTTTTTTTCGGTCATAAGCGCTAATGGAAATGATTTTTTGTAAATAATTATAAAAAATTACTCTCTACGAAGACATTATTTTGTACTGGATCAAAAAATAAGTATTTGTTTTCTCTATACGGTGGTATTAATATATCGATTTTTAATGATAGTGCCCTTTTTCCCGGTCTAATTTTGTACTACTTTTGGAATAAGGGTCCCCATATCATGTACTTGTACTTCCTTCCCTGAAAAATTCAGCTTGTGACACCGAAGTGGGATACATATATAAAAGCTCAAAGGGTTTTTTTTGTTACATCCATCCCGCCGAAACCACCTCACCAATCTTCATGATTCTTTTTTTAAATGAAAGGTATATATGTCTAGATTTGTTATGAAGTATTATTATATCGTTTAATCGGTATTTCTTTATGTAAAACGAATAAATATTAAAACATACCTGAAAAACACCTACACAAAATACCTCCAGAAATCAATTATTTGTCATTGTCAGTGGTGTGTCAGTTAGATTATAGAGATTATATATAAAGTTTTTAGATATTTTAGGGGTCAGTTCATACCACCAGCTTTAGATACATCAATATTAGAACAAAAGTTCGTTTAAAGAACATTAGTGATTAGTGAATTAATTATGCAAAGCGATTTTAGAAAATTCATCCTCTTAGAGTGTAAAATTATGTCGAACGATTTGTTGTATGAAAATCATTTACTATCTGGTCTAGAAGAATGAAATTCTACAGAAAGAATAAGAAGAGATTTTTGAAATTCATCAACCAAAAGGGTAAAGTTAGTAAAAAATTATATAAACCTTCGTGACCTCTGGATTATACACATAAAAATTTGCACAAAGAATCATTTAAAAGACATGAGTTAATTATTTGGACATAGGAATTTATGAAATGCATACCCTTAGGGAGTAGAATAGGGAATGAAAGTTTGCTGTACGAAAATGCATTACTATAACATCTAGAAGTATAACATATTATACAAGGGTTTATTTATAGTGACATCAATAATATGAACGAAATACTTCTTCTTCAAATCATCCTTCTAGGAATAAAAAATAACATATAAAAAAAGTATTAGTGCTCTGGAAAAATAAAATAAAATCAGGGCAGTATATTAAGAAAAGCGACAATTAAAAACTTTATATGTCAAAGCTATTTATTTTAGTAATACAGTTTATATGGGACCATGGGTAGGGTTCTATCCATAGAGGGTAAATGTCATTTCACTATTTATTATTTTCGAGAGATCTTTTTTGAGATTTTGCAAAATCTCGACTTTGGTTAGGTTAGGTTAGGTCGAGTTCTAAACTACTTTTTCCGTGAATGTTTAAATCTGTTGTTTTTTGTTAAGTTCGTTATTTAAACATATGTATGTAATACACTCATATTAACACTAATCATATTTTTACGTTTTTATTCATCATTTTCAATGTCCCCCCGGTTGCATCTTTGTAAAGGACTGTGAATTTTTTTCGGAGAATAACCCCACGTATCCCAGCAAATATGCCTTATTTATTCTGTTATCGATTGCGCAACATCATATGCATGACCGTTTCAGCGTTCAAGAAAAACCGAAAAAAGAAAAAAAAAACCGTCAGTCATTTTGCTGCCGATCGTTCGCCATTTGGACTTTCACGTAGCCGACATCGGCCACGTTGCCGCTGTTTATCTGTTTTCAGCTTTATGGCTGCAAGCTTCTCGATTCTTTTTTTACGTTCGCTTTTCATTGCTCGATTTTATTGCCCTGTTTGCTCCCGTTTACGGTTTATGTCTTTATTTGGTTTTCCTGGGAAATGCTCATCGGAGCTGAATTTGCTTACGTACCAAATGCTCTTTTTCAGTTTTTTTTTCTTTTTCTTTCAATCAGGATGGATTTATTTACTTCTATTTATTCACGCATCAAAGAATTTTTTCCTGATTTTTTTTTAATAAAATATCCGTTTCAAAATATCCGGCAATAGTGCAAACTTGGGAAGTTTGTTTAAGTGTTTGTTTAATATGTTTTAACTTCTACAGGGTGGGTCAGAAAATTGTGAGTGGATCAGGATGATTTTTTTGTATTTTATTGCATTTTTGGCTTCCTTTCAGATCACTTTACATAATCCTAATATCAGAGATATTAATAAATAATAAATAAAAAATATATATCTTTCAACCTCCCTTGAAAAAAATATTACAAATACAAGAACTGTCCTGAAATCAAAACTATATTAAGGAGGGTCCACATTTAGTAACATGTTATATAACATTGCTATTTAACAAGCTACATGTAACATGTTAAAAAACCGGGGGCCGTCCACATTATAGTTTTCGTAGTCATGAATCGTTTTGGCGAGAAAGAGGTTCAGCTCGCAGCAGCGGCGTGCGTAATTATTTTTGAACTAAGGGAAAGAAAGTCGAGAAAAAAAGCGGTTTTGAGTCCGCCATAGCCTACCAGTAAAATCTAGATACAGTTGAACACAATTAGCTTATCTTTTCAATACTTGCCTCGGCTGTTTCTCGTGGTGTCGTCTGTCTTTTAAAAACATTAATAATTTACAGTACGTCTCGTCTGCTGGATCTGTGTCTATGAAAGGAATGCGGACAAAAAACATTTAAATAAACAGCAATATATTCTATACGTCGATTTGACGAGTGCGTCACCGCAAATCGCTCCGCCCACTCATTTTATTGGCTACTTGCAAATTTGTCGAATTTTTATTGATGGGACGCGTCGTCTATTTTTTACGAAAAACATCGAGAGAATATCGTTTCCCCTCTCACGGATACCCCGTAGCTACAGAACGAACAGAGGTACTGTAAAAGCAAAAGCAAACCATTTTGAATTATCCACTTCATCTAAACCATGCAGTTCCTTATTTGCATTTCTTTTGTTCCCGCTGGAACTGGCCTATTAGATTACGCATTTTTTCTCAACTTTTTCTGTTTCCAAATACATACTATGAAATGAAAATCGCTGTCATTTTATATGGAAAATTATATGGGGAATGTCATCGATCGTCATGTCCAAGCCAACTGGACGGGAGGCCGACGGGAGCAGTTTTTTTCGATCATACGGTATTATTGACCAGTAAATAAACAAACCCAAGAACAGTTAACCTAAACAAACCAATATCAGCTCACCACACTAAGATTCTGTCGCGCACGTCCCTGAAAATATGAGCGGCTAAACTAGAAATTTAGCAAGTGTGGACGCATTGTTTCATGTTACAATAGCAATGTTGCACAACATCTTTTGATCTTTACCGACTACAAATGGATAACATCTAGCAAGTTATATAGCATCGAAATTTGCTAAATATAACTAAAAAATATGTAACATGTTATATAACTTTGCTATATAGCGGTGTTATATAGCAAGTGTGGACCGTCCTTTAGATATTTAATTTAGATCTTTAGATGGCCTGTACTTACTTTGCTATAAATATGATAATCGTAAATCATGCAGGATGTTCGAAATTCTACGCCAAACTTTCTAAAATATAAAATAATATTTCTTGTTTTTTTTAAAGGAACATTGTATATTATTTATCTGTATATTATTTTCTCAGTAAATGGAGAATTAAAAAATGAACATTTTTGGTAATCAGAGTATTTTAAAAATTTTAATGGTTTTGCAGATATTCGAGGTTTTATATTTCATATTGCATTTTCCACACAAAATTTTTATCGAAGCCACCTAATGATTTTTCTCTCGTATTTTACCCTTGAGAGAATGATATAATACTGAGTGTATCTGCGAAACCATTAAAAACTTTGAAATACTTCAATAAAAAAAAATGGTCATTTTATAATTCTGCATCTAATAAAAAAATAATAATATATAGGGTGTTCCATATAAAAAAACAAAGATTTTTTTTATATTTTTTGTTTTTTAAGTTTGGCATAGAATTTTGGACACCCTGTATGACTTAAGATTACGATATTTATAGCAAAGTAATTCACAGTTTTGATTTCACAGTTCTTGTGTTTGTAATAATTTTTTAAGTAAGATTGAAAAGTGCCAAAATACAAAACAATAGAAACATATACAAGGTGAGTTTCCTACGATGTTCTCTATGGGTATCTTGGAAACTACTGGAAATAGAGAGTAGGTTAAATGTGGAAAGAATTGTAGTTTTGTGGGGTCATAAATATGCACCTTTCAAATTTTTGAAAAAGTTCATGGCTTACTAGATATTTGGAAAAAATCAAATTTCGACTATTTTAAAAATAGCCCCTAATTCCATTAAAATCTATTTTAGACAAAAAGTTTTCAGATAAAAGTTGCAGACAATCACATTCCTAATGAGTTTGTGTTCTCTGACAGAATATAATATTAAACGGTTCTTTGCAATTTACATTACACTAAAACTAAAAAAATCTAATTTCACTACATACACTTTAAGTTATTTTAGCAAATGTTCAAAAAACCGCAATTGTTTTGAGTACATAAAATGCATCTTTTTAAAACTGAATTACAAGCTGTTCCCAGAGAACGGCCGAACGACTTTCATAAACTTCTCCCGTACCGTCTCTTCGAGTGCCTCTCATAATTCATAAGTTCTTTTGTAAACCTTGTTGTTAACCATACCGCATAAAAATATCTAAAATAGATAGATAGGTCAGGTGATCAAGGAGGCCCATGCAATTTGGTCCACCTCTTCCTATCCCTGAGTTTGCATAATGATATAAATAATTTTTAACATTTCTTTCATAATGAGGGGGAGTTTCATAATGATAGTCATGTTGGAAACACTTTATTGATATGCGAGTATCTAAATTTAACTTTTCTAAAAATTGTAAGTAACGTTCACCGGTCAACGTATCCTCGAAAATGTATGACCAATAAAAGTTGAACCAATAATCCTACTCACTTTGATTCTTTTGAAAAATTCATATTTACAATTTTTGTTTATTTTAATTTACAAAGTTTGGATGTGACAGTTTCACATTACTGAGAGCAACGACGATTGAACTTGGCGTTCCCATGGCTAAGTGAAATTGTTTAAAAATGATAAGAATTGGCAATAACTCTGTAATTTTTCTAAAGAAACATATTATAGCTTATATCGCTACAAAGATTAAAAAATGGCGCTTTTTATGATGCCATGGCCAACTATGGTTTCCATTTAAAAAAAACATTATGTTTCTGTCATATGTCAAAAATGACAGGCTTTAGGAAAAAATGGAGGACACAATCTCATTAGGGATGTAATTATCTACAACTTTTATCTGAAAACTTTTTGTCTAAAATAGATTATAATGGAATTAGGGAGAATTTTCGAAATAGCCGAAATCTGTTTTTTTCGAAATATCTGGTAAGCCATGAACTTTTTCAAAAATCTGAAAGGCGCATGTTTATGACCCCACAAAACTGCAATTCTTTCCCAATTTAACCGACTCTCTATCTCCAGTAGTTACCGAGATACCCATAGAGAACATCGTAGGAAACTCACCCTGTATACTATATACTATTAAAAATAAAATATTGGGAACTAACAATTAAAACACATTAATTAAAATGAGTCAATGTCTCTTGTATCGCACAATTTATTAATATCAAGGTAATGAGCTTAATTTCTTATTATTATGTAGATACTTGAAATGAAATGAAAGCTAGTAGGTATGCTAATAAGTTCACATCTTAGCAATGTCTGTTTTCTGTTTATACTCTCTTAGAAAATAATCCAGTTATTGCAATTTGAATTGAATGTTGATAACAAAGTAATTGACCAGTTGGGAAATCACGATCCGGTACTCTAGGTCACGTTTCTGCATTATTGCCAGTTTGTCGAATAATTCTAATAATCCTAACAGTAATGTTCTATAACATCAAGTTAATCCTGTTCATAAGTTACATCAAGATATTATTTTGAAATTGATCATCCCAATGATATTTAAATTGACTACAATATTCCATTACATATATTTATTTGTATTTTTATTATCTGTTTTGAGAGTATTTAGTGTTATTTCTGTGTTATATTTTAGTATTAATTGTTTTAAAATTTTAAAATTTCCTGATGATTCTATAACATGATTAGCGAAACATTCATCGAGAGTTGAAATAAACTGTATACAGGGTTGTTCACCACATACGACACGGAGTATTGTAGCTAAACGATGAGATTTTTACAAATTGTAAGTTTGGGGTTCGTTGAAGGACTATTAGAGCTACAATTTAAAATTATTTTTACAAGATACAGAGTGTCTCAAATAAATAAAAAATATCAAAGTTGTATTTTTTTAAATAGAACACCCTGTATATTATTACATTTTTAGTTTCTACGATTAAAATAAAGGTAAATTTGATTAAGGTTTATTATACTTGAACCTTACAGTTTTTGAAATATTTTCAATTTTGTGAAATTGCAGTAAAAATTTTAAAGCTTCATTTCTCCAAGGGTATCAATGTTTTTAATACTAAATATTTACTGAAGTTTATTTACTGATCCGTTATTGTGTTGCAATAATAAAAATAATACTACCTTATACAGAGTGTCTAAAAATTTATTTTAAATAATTATTAGCTTCAAACGGCAATAACTTCTTTAATTTAAATGGAATGCCCTGTATGTTTTAGGAGAATCAGATGCACAATTAAATTGTCTATCAAATTGTATTATACCATTTTTTACCTATTTCTTCAAGTTTTCGTAGAAAATGCATTTTCTTATAATTTAGACCTCATTTATCAATATATCCATGGAATATTGACATTTTAGATTGTTTTTAAAGCAACAAATGTACAAAATGTACAGACTAGTAATATTATCGTTTTTAGCAAAACGGTAATATTACTAGCCCATTTGTATGCAAAAAGAAAACTATTTAAATCTTTATAAAAGAGTGTACCATTAATTAAATATAACACCATTATTTCCGCTCACATACTAATTAATGATATACTTAATTGTGTTCGTTAATAAATTATTATAAATAAATGTGGATTTCTGAGTCAGAAATCAATATAATAATAAGTTATCAAATTAAAGTCTTTGTTGTTATAAATAAGTATTTATTAAAAAATGAAATATCATTTTTAAGGTGTTACTTTTTATCACACTGTCTAATGCCCATACAAAATTCAGTTTTTTAGTATTTGGAGCAATTATTATTAATCAACGCAGTCAGTTAATGTAGTTTGAATACTGGAATCATATTAATTGATCCTCTTTAACAAATATTTAAACAGTTTTTTTTTATTTTTTAATGAAATAAACGAATTATATCGACAATATTAGTATCTGTACTCTTTAAAAATTTGGTACATCTTTAAAAATAATCTAAAATGTCAATAGTCCATGGGTATATTGATAAATAAGTTCTAAATTACAAGAAAATGCATTTTCTACGGAAACTTAAAGAGATAGGTTAAAAATGGTATAATATAATTTGATAGACAATTAAATTGTGCATCTAATTCTCGTAAAATATACAGGGTGATCCATTTAAATTAAAGAAGTTATTGCCGTTTGAAGCTAATAATTATTTAAAATAAATTTTTAGACACTCTGTATAAGGTAGTAGCATTTTTATTATTGCAACACAATAACGGATCAGTAAATAAACTTCAGTAAATATTTAGTATTAAAAACTTTGATACCCTTGGAGAAATGAAGCCTTAAAATTTTTACTGCAATTTCACAAAATTGAAAATATTTCAAAAACGGTAAGGTTTAAATATAATAAATCTTAATCAAATTTACCTTTATTTTAATCGTAGAAACTAAAAATGTAATAATATACAGGGTGTTCCATTTAAAAAAATACAACTTTGATATTTTATTTGGGACACTCTGTATCTTGTAAAATTATTTTTAAATTGTACCTCTAATAGTCCTTCATCGAACCCAAAACTTACAATTTGTAAAAATATCATCGTTTAGCTACAATACTCCGTGTCGTATGTGGTGAACAACCCTGTATATTGTCGCAGGTTTTTGAACTCTTTTTGGATTCCAACTGAGATGGTTAGGTTTTAACTATTTAACCAACTGTTTGATTACTAATTATTGCTTTTTGGGTTT